GCCTCCACTCTGTTAGCCCTTCAGACCTTAGCTACCCTCTTTGTAGTTCTTGTAGGAGCCCTCAGCACAGTGGCTACACGTTGGGCTGCTAACTGCGAGGTCAGCAGTTTGAAACCACCAGCTATTCCAAGGGAGAAAGATGAAGCTTTCTACTCCCATAAGCAGTTACAGTCTTGAAACCCCACAGGTGCAGGTCTCCCCTGCTCTCAGGGAGTTTGGCTTTTTTGCTTTTGTAGTTTTCACTTACTGACTAGCTAGCACATCACAAGCATGCTATGTTGCCTCAGTGGTTTTCACAACCATCTTTGGGTTATTACCTCATGTAACAGATGAGGTAACTGCGGCCCCAAATATCAAGGAACTTAGCCTAGGCCTTACACCGAGAAACTGGCAAAGCCAAGTGGTCTGGATGTACTTATATGTTGTTGTTTGCTTGTTTATGATGAGAGGGAGCTCCAGGAGAGCGGAACAAATCCACATACTCCCCCCTAAGAGGGACTTCTTGTCTGGATAGTTTGCAGGAACTGGGTTCCATGTGTCTTTGCCACTTTATCAGGGAGTCCCTCCTATTGGTACGAGTCAACCCCAGTATAGACACATGCTGAGCATTGCCACCTGGCAGGACCAGCTCTGTCTGCAGCCTGCCTCTATGAGAATGGAACCTGAGAGGCAATCCCGCTGCCAGGGTCCCCAACCTCCGGGCTCCTCATGTTCTAATCCTCCTCTCCCTCCTGCCTTACCCCTCCCCACCCCCTACTCCCTCTCTGCCACCCCAGCCATGTCTGGGCAGGCCCGGGGCATGAACCACTAAGAGGGCTGAGTCAGGTCCTGAGGCAGCCAGACCAAGGCTCTGTTTCTGACGCTGACAAGGAAGAACAGATGTGTGTGTGGGGAGAAGGGGGTGGGCAGGGGGTTAGGGGTGGTGGTATGTTCCAAGGATCCTCCCTGACACCAGGCTCAAGGGAAGGGCTTTAACCCCAGATGGCCTCTCGGCCTGGAATGTTGGCCTGGTCATATTTCTCTGGTTTTTATTTTTAGTCTGAGCTTCCGTGCGAGCAATGAGAGCCACACATTTGCCATTGGCTATGTAAAATCCCATTTCCTCTTTGGCAAATACCAAGTGATCGTCCAAGTTAAAGTTCACCCCATCCTTGTCTTTTGCAAGTACAGTCTTTGTTGATGGAGAGAACATTTACAGTCAATGCCTGGCTCATAATTCACATTGCTTTTAGCACAAGTCAATCAACATCCCCTCACGCCTCTCAGCAATTCAATTAAATAAGACTTTATTGACTGTTTAGCACTGTGACATGATCATCACTCACTAAAAACATAGCACAGGAGGCACACACAAACACCATTGTGATCTCGCACCTGTGCACTGTGTTTTGCTGGACTCAGAGCCTGCTTACCTATGTTCCTTTATTTAATCCATGCAACTAGCCTTTGAGGTGAGGATTTAAGAAATAGCCAGCCATTTGTTATCATGGATTGAATTACGTCTCTCAAAAACGTGTATCCACGTGGCTAGGCCATGATTCCCTGTAGTATGTAAAAGATATCCATTTCGTGATCTGATAAAATCGTCCCACGTGTTATACATCTAAATGCCTGTAGTTGATTAAGTTATGTTAGAGAATTACACTGTGTTTTGTTTTTGTTGGCAATGAGACAAGATTAGAAAGGGATCAAATACTCCCAATCTGGTCACAACCCTAATCAGATGTAAGGGAGCATCCTTTGTGGGTGGCTCATGAGAGATTAGGGGAGAGGGAAGCCAGCAGAGAAGGAGACGTTTCCGATAACCAAGAAGAGCTTAGAGAAGAGTGTGACCTGACCTGGGATCCTTATGCTGAGAATCTGCTAGACCCGGGGGACGGCTGCCATGGCACATGGAGGTCCCCCAAATATCGGACACATAAATGTTTAAAGGAGACAAAGACCTTCCCCTAGAGCTGACAGAAAAAGAAAGACTTCCCTAAGAGTCCCTAAACTTGAATTTTCTAGCCTCCTAAACTGTGAGAGGATAAGTTTGTGTTGGCTGAAGCCATTGACTTGTGGTACTTTTGCGATAGCAGCACTAGATAAATACCACTGGAGATCCCCTTGCAGAGGGGTCTCGGGGAGGAGACGAGCCAGTCAGGGGGCGATGTAGCAACAATGAAAAATACAACTTTCCTCTAGTTCCTAAATGTTTCCTCCCCGCTCCCACTACCATGACACGAATTCTACGTTGCAAGTCTGGCTAGACCAGAGAATGTACACTGGTACAGATGGGAGCTGGAAATACAGGGAATCCAGGGCAGATGAGCCCTACAGGAGCAGTGGTGTGAGTGGCAAAACAGGGAGGGTGGAGGGAGAGTGGGTAGGAAGGAAGGAACCGATTGCAGGGAACTATATGTGATCTCCTTCCTGGAGGATGGACAACCGAAAAGTGGGTGAAGGGAGATGTTGGACAGGGCAAGATATGAGAAAATAATAATTTATAAATTATCAAGGGCTCATGAGGGAGGGGGGAGCGGGGAGGGAGGAGAAAAATGAGGACCTAATGCCGGGGGCTTAAGTGGAGAGGAGATGTTTTGAGAATGATGAGGGCAATGAATGTACAAATGCACTTTACACAAGTGATGTATGTATGGATTGTGATAAGAGTTGTATGAGACCCTACTAAAATGATTAAAAATAATAATAATAAAGTATGAAAGCAAAAAAAGAAAAATAAAACTTTGTGACAGACATGTGCATAGGTATGTAAGACCCAACCAAGAAAAAAGTTCCCAGGACTTCCAAGAAAGTGTGTTTTTAATATAAGCTATAGAAAGGTGACATTAAGTTTTGAAGTACAGAGGATTGGTCATATTCACCTGGTTTCTTCATTCACTTGAATAAGTAAATGCGGTAATGTGCAAAAGGATCATAACTGTTAGTCAAAAATAAAAGCGTCAGGTAATAGAGATGTGATTGCAATTTTCCATGAGGGAGAGCGTGGAAGTCCTTGTTAACAGAAGAGATCTGAGTAAAGACCTGAAAGAAGAGACCAGGTAAATTCTGGGATTAGAGTTTATCAGGCAGAGAGACAGGCCAATGTGAAGGTCATGGTGGGGGAGAAGGTAGCATCTTTAAAGTTCAAGGAGTCCAGTGTGGCTGGAACCATGGGGAGAAGGAAGGAAACAGAAGGACAACGAGTGAGAGAGGTGAAAGGGTAGCCAGGTCATGGAAGGTCTGAGCTTATGTTTTCAATGTAAAGCCCCAAGCATTTCCTCATGAAGTGGGTGTGGTGTGCGATAAAAAGAGAAGGTAAAAAATTACTCTAAGGCCTTTGAACTGAACCACCAGAGGGATGGGCTGATATCAACCTAGATAAAACCAATCAAACCAAGATCACTGCCTTAGCGTTGATTCCGACTCTTAGTGACCCAATGAGACAGAGCAGAAGGGCCCCCTTTTGGTTTCTGAGGCTGTAAATCTTTAAGGAAGCAGAAAGCCTCCACTTTCTCTTTTGGAGCAGCTGGTGGGTTGGAGTCGCTGGTGAGTTCCAATGCTGGTCTTGTCGTAGGCACCCCAGCATGTCACCCACGACACCACTGCGGCTCGTGCTGTGGGCAGGAGGAAGGCTACCAGCAGAGCTGGTTCGAGCAGAAGATAAAGAGTTCCGTTTGGGACATTGAACTTTAGACATGTTCATGAACCATCCGTGGACATTCAAATGGAGTGGAATTTAAATGGATATTTAGGTCTAGGATTTACAAGAGAGGTCTGGGTGGTAGACATCCACTTGGGAGTTGGCCTTCAAAGCCAGTGGCTAAGCGCTCTGCTGCTAACCAGTCGCAGGAGAACGATGGGACAATTTACAACGGTGACTTGCAGGGACACTATGACCTGAAATCCACTCCACGGCAGCAGGTTTGAGGGACTGAGTCATGCAAGTGAGTGAGAGAAGTGGTTCAAGACCAGAGACCCTCAAGTGCTCTAACTTTAAAGAGTTGGAGGGAAGAGAGAATCACAGAGGAGTCTAACAAAGAGCATTGAGGAGAGAGGAACCCCAGGAGGGAGCGGCATCCTGGAAACCGAGGGTGGACAGTGTATCAGAGAGGAGGGAGCAGTGAAGAGAATCCTGCAAACTCCTGGACTCGCTAAGGTAGAAGTCCTTAGGGACTTCAATAGACCGAGGAGATCAGTGTGGCGGAAACTATGGGGGACCACTGAATTCAAGAGCGACTGGGGGGAATTTGAGATTCAAGTGTAGATGACCGTTTCTTGGAGTTTGAGTAAAATGGAGAGCACATTTGTGGAGGGTGGGCAGCCAAGGATGGGAAGTGGAGATCAAGGGGCCCTCAGTTGTTTGTTTGTTTCTGTCTTAAGACAAAAGAAGTAGCAGCATGTTCACCAGATGGCCTACAGCCTTTGTGCTTGGCTTTAAGGGCATTCTTTAAGTCCAGGTTCGTTCTGACACCCCCACCCCACCCCCGTGGTCATGTTAGGTGATGACAAATACCTGCTGCACTGTTAGGAATGGCCAGATGGGAAGCATCCCTTTCAGAATTGTCTCTCATGAGGCAACATGCTTAGAGTCATTTGCCGGATGCCACACAGTTGGCAGGGTGGGAACGCTTTTACTTGAAACCAGCTCTGGCCAGGGAGGTATAACTTGGGGCCCTGAAGGCAGTAGATTCTGGAGGGCAGGGCGGGAAGGATGACAGAGAGCTGAAAGAGGACTGGTTACAGGAAAGGAAATGGAGGAGGGTTAGGAATACAGTACTGAGGGGAAAGGAGAAGAGAGGGTCAGGGGCAGATCCAGCAGGCAATGCAGAAATTAAAAGGATTACATACAGTCTCTGTAACAGAATTGTATAAAGTGAGCCCTACCTTTAATTCAATAACTTATTAAAAGATCTGAACACAGTGCCTGGCATAGAGTCAACCCCTCAATAAGCATGAGCTGCTATGATGATGATCATCTCCAACATCTCCACCAATTTCCATCACAACTCTGTTGGCTTTTTCTCTTTTTAAGTCCTTTGGCCGATTCCTTTGTATGCAGCATAGTTCTACACTCCTTTCCATAACAGGCATATCTCGTTGAATTGCACGCCTCCGATATTGACTGTTTTGTTTGTCTGTTTTTACAAATTGAGGGTTTTCGATGACCCTGCATCGAACAAGTCTTTTTGTCGCCATTTCCCCAACAACATGTGCTCACTCCCTGTCTTGGTGCCACGTTTTTGTCATCCTCACAGTATTTCAAATGGTTTTATAGCGCTTTATCGCACGGTTAAAAGACTGCAGTGTGGTATCAACACTGCTTTTCTAGGCACTGAGAACAAACAAGCAAAAACGGGGTGACTAGCTGTCTGGCGGCACTCTCTTTATCATGGTGGCCTGAAGCAGAGCCTGCCGTGGTTTCAAGGTCTGCTTCTCCTATCCCAAGCACATTTCCCTCTTCAACCTTCACTTTATCAAGCACCTACTGTACGCCTGGCATGCGTTGTTGCTTATTTATCCAGAGAGCGTAACTGAGCTTTGCATCATGGGCATGTAGTAAGTTCTCAACAATTCTGAGATGAATGAATAAAAAGAGAATGGGGTGCCCTGTGACCTTGTGCTCATACGAGCTCCTCTTCCTCCTCCCTTTTCCTGACCTTATTCATCAGCTCCTTTGGGTTAGTTTTAGCAGTTAGGTCAAGGGCAGCCTCAAGGGCCTTCATCCTAAGCCAGTACACTTGCTTTGATTTGACATACCTAATCAGAAGCCAACTGAACTTTCCAACTCCTTTAGTCCCTCTCTCAAGAAGTTCTCTATCTTTATTCTTAAAATGAGCAGTCTCTGCATTTGGGCCACTTTTCTGAGGTTACACTGTGCTTAGCCCCTTCTGCAGCCGTTTGTGGTGTGTCAGCCAGTCTACCAGATGAGAAGAATAGATGTGGAAACTGAGGCCCCAGGAGTTGATGGTCCCGTGAGTGGCTGACTAGCTGATTCCAGAGCTTCTGATACAGGACAGCTATGCTCAGCGCCAACAGCAGTACGGCCTCTTCCCATGTCACGGCCTGCTTCTCCGTGCTCAGCACGGCCACCTTCTCTAGTTTAATCTCTTCCTCTCTGCTCTCCATCCTCCCCAGGTCACTCTGACGGCCGAGACTACGTGCAGCTACATTTCCTGGCCCCGGAAAAGTCTCCACCTTCTTCTGGCCAAAGACCAATACATCGCCCGCCTCTTTACTGCCTGGCTGGGCTATGACATTTCAGAGAAGCTCTACTCTCTCAATGACAAACTCTTTGCCAAGTTTGGCCTGCGCTTTGACATCCGCCTTCCCAGCCTCTACCACGTCCTGGGTCCCGCTGCCCTGGATGCAGGGCCAGAGCCTGAGAAGAATGGCGAGGAGCCTTGTGAGCCAGCCGTGTCCCTCTCTCGGATCCTGCCCACACCTGTCCAGAAAACACTCCCTTGTCCTCCCCCTCCAACTGCCACCAACCCTCCTGCACCCCCTTCCCGGGCAAGGATGTCCAGGCCCGACAGCGGCACCCTGGGTGAGGACTCCGCCAGTCTAGTGCTGGAGGACTTTGAGGAGGTGTCAGGGTCAGAATCGTTTATGGATTATAGGAGTGATGGGGAGTACCTGAGGTGAGGGGAGCGCTAACACGGGCACGACTACCAAGCTCAGGACTGTGTGTAAGTACTCAGAAGGCAGCTGGCACGCCTTCCTGCCAACAGCTGGTTCTAACTTAGCTTGAAGAGTAGAGGGCCAGGGGTGGGGTACAGAGTGTCATGGGCTCTGTGCTCCAGAAATAGTATTAACCCAACCTTGTGGCTAGCAACTCACTCGGGGTGCATGCAAAGCATGACGGGATGTTTAACCCATTCATGATTACTACGTATAAGCCACCATGCAGTTTGGGGAGAGGGCTGGCTGATATTATAAGTGGGCAGGCAGGTTGTTACTATTTTCGGTAAGGTTGTGCTAAAACTGGGGTTCACTGAGACTTCACATGCAGCTTGCATTCTAAAGGCGGAGGGCAGGGGAGGGGGGAAGATGGCATGGGTCTAACATCGGCTGGATTGTCTTCTTCATAGGGTCCTTCGTGCAAAGCTGTCAACAGTTAGCCTAAACTGGCCAAGGTATCTTTGTTAAAACTGCACATTTCAAAGAGGTCGGGGATTACAGAGCAATAGCCTGTGGGGAGAAACCTATTTCTACCCGGCTTTCCTGTTCGTGAGGGGAGAAGGTGATGCTGTTTCAGGCAGAGAACTGGATGCCTCCCTGCCTAAACAGTACTTTGATTAGATTGCTTGTACTGCAGCCTGGCTTTCTCAGCAAAACCCACCTCTGTGAGGTCCAAACTCACTGCCATCAAGTCCGCTCCAACTCATACTGACCCCTGGGACACAGGAGAACTGCCGGGGTGGGTTTCTGAGACTGCATGGCTTGGCAGAAGTTGACCTCGAGGTTACCAGCCCAGTGTGCAGCCCCAGGCTCCCTAACACCCTCTCCACCCCCACCCCCACCCCCGCCGCCAGTGCTCCTCTGTGAGGTAGATTGGGCACGAATCTGGCAGGGTCTAACAATGTGGGAGGACTATCTCTCCCAGCTCTGGAGAATGGGTGTACAAAAAGTGTCACACTTGGTCATTCTTGAAAATTGCTTTCATGTTCCCCTGGCTGCGCTCAGAGGAGTGTGACGCTTCCCTCCGTGACTCCACCAAGTCTTGGCTGAGGCCCGGATTTCCCTGAGGAAATTCCCACTGCTCCCATCTGGGAAGGCATTTCCAAGTAAGAGGGCCCTGCAGAGACACACCACTCTTTGGGAAATCCCAACAAATTTCCAGCAAGGAAAGTTCCCAGGGCATGCCAGGGGGCAGATGTGCATTGTGGAACACAGGTTTTGTACACGATGAAATGAGTCTGAAGAGGTGCATAACACGGGTTTCAATATTTAGTTATATTATAGAGATGGGGTTTATACTCAAGTGATACCAGGATCTGGAGTTGAACTGGTTCTGGTGTGATTACAGGGATCTAGCACCTACGGCCACTTTGTTGACTTCCTCCATTGGCATCACATTGTCCCCTCTCTTTACTCCTTTCTCCCCACTCGGCTGATCCCTCCCACTCAGTCACCCCCTGCCCTGCACACTAATGTTTTTTTCCTAGTGCGTCTCCCTGCTCAGTGAGCCTGGCATCTATGCAGTCTCTCCCCTCTCATAGCTTGTTCATGTTGTTCTTTCTGTGTTTCTTGTTTCTATTTGTTCCTTCTTCCCAGGAAACGAATTGCCCCGATGTACTACTCTCATGCGTCCCCTTTCTTCTCCCTTCCCAGCCCCTCAGACTTGCCCTGTAGTCATTTGGTTGTTTGTGCACTTAACTCTCCTGTTACCTTCTTTTCTCTCTCTACCCCACTTCTCTGACTTGCTGCCTTCATCTCTCTAAACCACCCTGTGTCCCCTTAACAATCCCAAGAGCAGTACCTTTTCCCCTGACTGCAAAGAAGCAAACCCACGCAAGTGGAAAATCCCTCGTGTTTAGGAGGCAACACATTTCATGCATGAGCTTTTTCAAACACTAGGAGAAAGGGGGGCAGGTAAACAAGACTGGATGCCTAAGTTTCCCCACCTGTGTGTGAATCTGCTACTGAGCAAGTCACACAACTTCTCAGAAGCTCAATTTCTTTATTGGAGCAGGCTTCTCAAGGTCCTTTTTAGAGTTCTGTTAAGGAGTCCTGGTGGTGTAGTGGTTACAGGTTGGGCTGCTAGCCACAAGATTGGCAGTTTGAGACCATCAGCCTCTCCTTGGGAGAAAAATGACGCTTTTTACTCCCATAAAGAGTTTGAGATTACTGGTGCTGGCCTGTGGGATGTCACCAGGGACCACAAAGTAGCCACCACTGGGGACAAAGTGCTGTCTGCCCATGAGCCCAATGACTCTAGCAGGTACACAGCTCTGGGCCTGGGGGCCTGGGGTAAATCCCCCGGGGGCCATGGCTGGCATCTCCCCAACAAGCTGGGTTCCAGAAATAACATCTCAGTCTGCGTCATCCCCCTGGGAAGGCCAGGCAGTTACTCCTGAGGAGCTCAGCCCCAACCCTCCCACTCCTCCCCTGCCCCACCCCCACAGCCTCTCCTTGCTCACCTCTCTCCCAGCCCCCACGCCAAAGCCATCTCCCTGTGACCCTTCTTTAATGACAACTTCACTGAAGAAGTGGGTCAGTGAAATCCCAAATGACAGCTATTGGTAAATACATGAGATGGTTAAAGTTGGGTGGGGGTAGGGGTGGGGGCAGGAATTTGAGACTTGGAAACTCCCGGGGGGCGGTTCCACTGTCCTATAGGGTCACTGTGAGTTGGCATCCACTTGGTGGCAGTGAGAGTTATGTTAAGAGAAAGCGGCTGGGACGGAGGACAAGAAAAAGAAGCAGGTAATTGTACAAGAAACACGTACATGGCCCAGGACCCGTGACCTTGTAGCCTGAGTGTCTTTCAAACAAGAATTCTCTGCTGTTTTTCACTAAGATTTCTCGGATGACCTGGGGATATCCTCCCTGGTGGTTGGGGGTCGGGTTGGCGGACGGAGGGGGGGGTGGGGCGCTGCTTGGCTAGACGTCTCCTCTATGTTCTCGCTGAGACTTTCAATTGCTCACCAAGAGCAGCACAGCCTTTCTATGTGGAAGAGCCCGGTTGAGTCTCCAAAGACCTCAGGCTCTGAAGATTTTCATATGAAGTACCCTTTGCCAGATTCAGCTTTTTTGAAACTCAAAATGAATGAACTGCTCATATGGTGAATTTGCGACAGTACTGACATTTACAATATACAGAGCGGGTTATTTTAACCTTTTGTTTGGTCAAGTAGGAGAGGGGAGAGGGAAGAAATAATTCATCTTCACTTTATGAACCAGAATTTTCAGAACAAGTTGGAAACATGATCAAAATTGGGTAAATTCCAGAAAGTGAATTTAATTCTGAAATTGTGGCTTCACATGTTTGCTTGACTCACTCGGCCATCTTCCCTGGTGATAGGCAGTGATTTGCTCCCATTTCCTTCAGAGAGTAAAACAAGACTCTTCAGGAACCAGAATCCAGGCTCATTGTCATTCATCCCAGCGGTAATGCTTACATTAGCCTTGGGAAAAGGAGGGATTCTGACCCAGCTTCTCCACAATGAAGCCAGTGCTTGTTTTGCAGCCTGATCCAAGTTTTAAGACCAACTCAAACCAGCCAAAAGAGAGCTCTCTTTTGAAGAGAGTAACATTTTTACTCAACAGTGCCCTAAATTGAACAACAAATGGGTGCTATGTCTCTTAACAGGAAAAGTGGGGTTGCGGGATACTGTGGGACTTTCGGTTCATTCTCAGAGCCCTGCTCCATGTGGGCTTTGGCTTCGCGAGCAGCTTCCAGTTGGGGTCTGTGGGCAGTCTCATAGATTCCGTTGGAAGTCTGACTTTATAGGAGACACGCAGTATGCACTTGCTAAATGAACGGGGGACTTATCCTTTAGAAAGGCAGCTCTGAGCCCGTCAGTTGGGACAATGAGAAACAGATTGCAGTGTGGAGGCCGCTTGTGGTGAGGATCAGGACACAGTACCCATTGTTCGAGAACCAATTCAAAGAGAATTTCTTATCACCCGTATACTTCGGATGAGGTGTGAGCTAATCACATGAGGAACTCTTGAAAGAAGGGAAACCATTGAGTTTGCAAGAGATGGGGAAGTGTGATATTTTCGCATTTTAAAAAGAAAGGAAATTATAATGTGGTTTAACTTGGTGTCTTGTTATAGAAGGTCTAGTTATAGAAAGTACACACAGAATGCTCCTTAGTGGCCAGGACGCTGACTTTGTCTCCCATACTTTGGCCTTGTTGTTAGGGAGGAGAGTTCCCAGAAAAGGACATCGTGCTTGGTAACGCGATGGGCAATGAAAAAGAGGAAGGCCCTTGGCCCTCAGCTGATCCCCTCCCTCAATACAAGAAAACTTTGTTCTAACAAAATGGCATTTTGTGATGCTCACCTCCCCATCCCCACCCCACTCTCGACATGATTGCTGAAGACAAAATGGGTGTATAAGCAAATATGGTGAAGACAGCAGATGGTGCCTGGCTATGAAAAGCTATAGCGTCTGGGGTTTTAAAGTCTTAAAGTTAAACAAGCGGCCATTCAGCAGTGAAGCAACAAGTCCACATGGAAGAAGCATACCAGCCGGTGTGATCATGAGGTGTCATCGGGACTGGGTAACAAGCATCAGAAGAATCATAACAAACAACAAACGAAAACATGTTGGTGAGAATGAGGGGGAGTGGAACGGAGACCTAAAGCCCATCTGTAGACAATGGAACATCCCCCCACAGAGGGGTGGCAGGGAAGGATGAGTCAACCAGGGCGCAGTAGAGCACCGATGGATCACGCAATATACCTATGGTTCCTGAGGCCGCCTCATCCCCCCCACCCCCGCCCACTGTCATGGTCTAAAAAATGGTCTAAAAGATTTCAGGTGAATTCCTCACTGGGTAGCTGTTAGCTGCTTCCCACTATGGACTGGACTGGAACATGTACATAGGTATAGGCAAGAGATAAAGCTCATGACACACGGAACCCAGGAACAAGAATGGGACTAGTGATACCAGAAGGGTGGGGGAATGGAGGGAAAGGAGGGGAGGAAGGGGGTATCGATTGCCATGAATGGCACATACCACACACACCTCCAGCGGGAAGAACAACAGAAACCAGAGGGGAAGACAGCCAGGGGTCGGTGTGAGATATGAAAATAAGAACAATCTATAATCTATCAAGGGGCCATCAGGGGGAGGGGGAGGAGGGAGGGTTAAAAAGAGGAGCTGATCCCAAGGGCTCAATAGAAAGTAAATGTCTCGGTAAGAACGATGGCAATGTATGTACAAATATGTCTGATACAATTGATGTATGGATTATAACAAGAGCTGTAAGAGCCCCCACTGAAATGGTCTTAGGAAAGAGGAAGGCCCTGGACAAATGGATCGACACGGTGACTGCCACACTGGACCGAGACCTGAGAACCCTTGGGAGGATGGCGCAGGACTGGTTCTGCGGTGCTTTGCTCTGCTGCGCCCAAGGTCATTACGAGGCAGAACGGACTCGAGAGCACCTAGGCTGGCACTGGGTTAAAGGTCGATGGTCTGAAAGATCTCGGGTGGCGTCCTCACTGGGCAGCCCGGCGTTTCCCATCATTGAAAGAACCACAGGACCACAAGGTATTTCCAGATCTTATCGAGATGACTCGGGAATGGGAGAAGACTGATCAGGGGATTCTTCCTGTCAAGATGTCTTCTAAGCCTGTGAGGCTCTGATTCTGCAGTCTGAACTTACCCCGCCACCTAGGGTGGGCTCTGCATCCCCAGGACAGCATGAACGTGCCCCTATCCACTTTTCCAGGTTACTCTAAGGGGTGATGGAGAGAAAACAGGAAATCATTCTGCAAGTTGTAAACCACTAATTAAATATATAGGCTATCTTAAAATTCTCTTGTATGTGCAGATATTTAGTAGTGTCTCTCTCTCTCTCTCTCTTTTTGTCAGACATACGTGATTTTCCCTTTTACTACTGAATCAGGCTCTCCTGTGCAGGGGGCACCTGGTGGAGTCCCTTCACAATAGAAGGAGTAGCAAAAGGGAGCGTCTGAGATAGAGACAGAGCGAGTCAGGGAAGTGTGTGTGCACTCACTCCTTAGCCTCTGAGCAGAGGAGAGAGGCTTTCCTTTCATTGTTCAGGAGGAGACAGAGCAGAGTCACACTATGTCCAGGTTCTTTCCCTCGGAAGTGGCTATAAAGTGTGTTGATAGCTGCCAATGCTATGAACCGGCCTGTTTCTCACAGAACCCGGGAAAGAATCCCGGGGCAGGAAATTTGTTCCTGAAAGTGTCATGCCAGGAGCTTCCCTAAGGTCTTAGGTCCCAGGGGCCTCTAATAGTCACCCCACTTCTATCTTCCAGATGTGTGGTGTGACCTTGGTGCCTTCTCAGTCCCCTGGAACACAGC